AAAAAAAAGACAGTACAAGCCATTGAGCTTCTGAAGTTGGAGCACTGGGGAATCCCAGTGCTAAGGAATTAACCAGCTCCAATCTCTCTATGTCACAGCAGCGATGAAAAGGTTTGACTCGTTTGTAAAGTGGCTTCTTTGTTTTCCTTCAAAGCCTAATACCTGAATGGGAGGAGGGCAACGGGAGGGGAGACCTACCAGTGCGTCAGCTTTGTGCTTCAGCTTCTTTGCCTCTTGCATGTAATAATCAGCGTTGTGAACCCTAAGCAAACAAAACGAGCGCGTTCAGAAAGCCATGTTTCATCTTTTCATTAGAAGACCGAATAGTCACAATTTTGGGGGGCTATCAATCCATTCCTATACAATGCCTTGAACAGGGCCGATGAACGCTTGTCATGCGTATAATGACCAAGCTTGAAATAGCCCAGTGAATGAAATCGGAAGTGCATAATGGCCCATTAGGATAAATACCCACATCCTCCGACCCCAACCATTCCAGCTGCCCGAACAGATCCAAGAGAACCTAGCTATAATTCTCTTTGCTGGCACACAGTTCTTTCTGAGGACACGGGGAAGCAAGGAGGACCAAGCAGGCTGGGATTCAGCACCTGCCTTTGGAAACAGTAACAGAGCGCCACGATTAAGATGGGCCAGCGACGCTTCTCGATGGGGATAGAGGTGTGTGTGAGGAGGGGAGAAAGCTACTTTCAAGGCTATAGGAGCTGCACTGCTGCCTCTGAGGTCTTATTTTCGGGTGACACGTGCACGGTGCTCGAAAAGCCATACTGCCCCCACCCCCGTTCACCACTCCAGAGAATCTGGGGACAACATACGAGTCATCAAAAGTGAGCTTGGGTCTCCGGACATTGGTAGTGCTGCTGGAAAGAACGGGCAGGGCCGCCCAGGATGTCATCTCCAGGTGACTGCTGTCCATGAGGCCAGTAGTGATGGTGGAGGTGATGGTGGAAATGGTAGTGGTAGTGGTGGTGGTCGTGGCAGTGGCCGTGGCAGTGGCCGTGACAGTGGCGGTGACAATGGCAGTAGCAGTGACAGTGGCAGTGGCAACAGCAGTGTTGGTGACAGTGACGGTGGCAGAGGCTGCCTTTTTTGGAGTGTCTCCCTCCTGGGAAAAAGGAGGACAAAGAATTTCCATTAGGTCCAGATTTTTAGAGCATCTTTTCATAAATGCTTTGCATGTCAAGCACACTAGGAAACAAGACGAGAGAGAAGAAAACAATGCACACAGCTGGAGGATACACCGGTGACCCCGCTATATGTCATGAACTCCGGGAATCACCAGCTTTTGTTCTATGATGACACCAAACACCAAGCTAGTCACGTGCTGTGACTACATAGCTCCATCATCCCAGTGACACAGTCATTGGCGAAGGTCTAAATCCAGTTGGGGATGTGGCGGGGAGGGGACGAATGGGAAAGGGAGGGAAGGATAGAGAGAGAGGGAGAGAGAGAAGAGAGAGAGAGAGAGAGAGAGAGAGAGAGAGAGAGAGGAGAGAGAGATTATCACCCCGACGTGTATATTTTTGATAAGGGAACCAGCCCAGAAACTTTCTCTAGGGTAAGAAAAGTAGTCACTCTGCAAAATGCCAGATCCAGGGCAGCAAAATGCCAGCACACCAGGCATCGCACTGCAACAGTCAGTACCCTGGGACCGAGGCTGAGGCTGCCTTTCCGTTCACGTGAGGCCTTGACTGCTTTCCTGCTAGGGGATGCCACAGGAGCGCCTCTTCATTTCCAGGCCTTGGGAAGAGTGAAAGCTCATCTGTACCAGGTCATTCACACCGCTGACTCTGCCCCCGTGCCCCCCTGTGGCAACTGCGGGACGATCCTGACTGTTCTACCTCTGACCGTACTTGCCGTGGTGCCCCTTGCTCCTCCTCTTCTGAGCTGGGATCCCTCCAAGGCTGGCATCCCCCAACGTTCATTCCTCAGCTCTTCTCTCTCTTGGCCTTGACAGGATTTGCCAGCCTTGTGTGCACTGGCACAGATCTGACAATAAGCAGATAATTCCCCAAGGGAAACCTCCGCCTGTAACCCTCTCTCTGATGCTACTGCAGTGATGCCTTCTGGAGAGTTCCACCAAGATGGCCCATCAGCACCTCAACTTGCTCTGAAACCAAACTGACATCCAAATCAGTCCCCTTTCTCTGTGAATGGCAGGACGGTCTCCCCTGTCACCAAGGCCGGTAAGGGCATGGTGGTCATCCCGGGGCTAGGGGCGTCAGAAACCGTGTCCTCCCCGCCTTGCCTTCCATCTGAGCTGCTCTGCTTTAACCAGTTGTAGATATTGAAGCTCTGGAAATGATTTCATTTCAAACCGTGATCGTGCTCCTGAAGCTCTTTTTGAAAACCACTGCTCTACTCCATCCCTTATTTCTCCTTCCCCATCACCCCCGTCCAAAATCCATTACAAAGTCCTGTTCACTCCCTCCCCCCAGTGTCTCACAGCCTGTCCCCTCCTCCTCCACGAGTGCAGGCTCTCGTGGCTTCAGCCAGAGTGGAGCACACCGCCTTCCTGGCCGAACGCCCGACCTCCGAGCTAGCTTTTCCAATCACCCCCCATCTGCTGCCTGCCAGCCGGAGCTCCCTCCATTTCAGTGCCTTGCGGCTGAGTGCAAACCCCAGGCTGAGCTCCTCTGCTGGTGTGTAAGGCCCTTCCTGACCTGGCTTCACCCTTCCCGACTCCCTCCGACGAACCTGCCACCAAACTCAACTCATCAGGCTTTCTCCACTTTCCTGCTTTGGGTCCTTCGCAGTCTTAGGGCTGAAAAAGCCTCCTCTTCGTCACTTTTGTCACCTTGCGATAACGTACTGTATTTTTTCAGTGTTTAAATTGAGGTAAAATACACAAGACACCCAAATCCACCACCTCAACCATTTTTAAATGTCCAGTGCGCTAGTGTTAAGCACATTTACATCATCGTGCAACCGATCTCCAGGGCTCTTCGATCTTGCAAAGCTGAAACTCTGTGCCCATTAGACCAGAACTCTCCATCCCCTTACTTCCCGTAGCCCCTGGCAATCACCCTTCTAGTTTCTGTCTTTGCAAATCTGACTCCTCGAGGTACCATGTGTGAGTGGAATCATACACTCTTTGCCTGTTTGGGCCTGGCTGATCTCATTTAGCATAATGTCCTCAAGGTTCACCCAAGTTGTAGCACATGTCAGAATTTCCTTCCTTTTGAAGACTGGATAATATTCCACTGTGTGTAGAGACCACACTCTTGTTTAATCACTTCGCCTCATTACTAAACCCTACTTAACACTCTCAGCTCAACCCAGCTCAACAAATGCCTTCCCAGGAAAACTGCCTCATGTATATGGCCAGAAGTGCTTTAAACCTTTTTGGTCCCTTTAGAGATGGGAAGGGTGTGTCTCAAGCCCTCCCCTAAGACACCAATCAGCAGCCATTTCGTATCTGAGTTTATCGAGCACACGTCTCATTGCTCACCTTAGACTGGGAGCCCTTTAGGCGCTGGGGCCGTCTCTGATTTACGACACTCCCACCCCAGCCCCGGCCGGCTACCCCACCGCCCAGTGCACTCAGTGATTTGCTGAACATAGGCCTGCCTGCCTTAATCAAAAGGGTCACTTTAGAGCGAAAAGCCAAATGTGAACATTTCTTATATCCGTGAAAGTCTTATCTTTTCCACTTCATCCTGGACCTTCCGATTATCAAAAATTCTTACCATCAAGAGCTCACTGCGATAACTGTGCTGAGAGACTGCACATCTAAAAATGGTTATGGTGGATATGTAGGAAAGCATTTAAATATGCTGTAAATAATCAAGCATTAAATAAAATGCTTGATTTTATTCAACCCAAACACATAAAAAACTCAGAGGCTTCTGAACTCGAACTCCTAAGCCAGCTCCACGCTTCTACTGCCAAAGCCAGACGACCCAGACCAAACAGCTGAGTCGGCCCCAGAGAGAGCCACGTGTCTCTACGGCCAAGATAGGTGATGAGAACCCTGAAACAAACACCACGCCCACCACGCACATGGAGGTGATGTCGGTCGTGGCATATCTGACTGGAAACGGCTGCGTTCCGCCACGATCACGTAAGTCACATAAACACGTCCTCTGTTGACCCTCACTCATCCATTGAGTCAATAAACAGGACTTCGTGCATACACGGGACAGAGAAGACTCTGAGAGTGGAAAATGGAAAACGCTTTTGGAGCTGGAAGAACCTATAGAGATCATCGAGTCAAATTTACTCATTTCATGGACTCAAAGAGGTTTCATAATTTGCCCAAGGTCACAGAACAGATTTGTTGCGGTGTTAGCACTATGTGTCAAGCAAGCCTCTTAATTTCCACAAAGTCTCTCAGATTTCAAGCCATCAATAGAAAAAACTAATGGCCAAAGAAGATGCAACAGGTACTCAATCCATCATGGGGACCCCGGTCATTTCCTTAAGAAGAATGATCCATTTCTAGGTGAAAATGTAATCATGTCTACCAGGTTTCCCCAGGAGTTTTCAGCTCTTGTGGAAATGCCTTTGCAGGATCCTCTTATTGTCACTGTCATAATAACATCTCTATTAAGCATCTAATTATTTGTGACCGTGTACTAGGCGCTATATGAAGAGAACTGCCTAGATATGGCGCATGCCCTCCAAAAGCTTGCAGTAGGAGAAAGCCTCCGTTGCAGTTTATAACATTAATTACATTCAGCATGAAAAATAGGATTGATGGTGTAATTACTGGTTAGAATAGACAGTTTCATTCCTAACATTACAAGTCAGCATCTTTAAACGTGAATGCAAATATAATGTGGGCACACACACATACAAATTTCATTTGGAAAATGACAACTTTGTAATAGAGCAATTTCTTTATGTCACCAATAAAATTTACCTAGATATGTATGTCATCTAGTCATCTCAGATGATGGAGGGCTTTAAACTGTGGTCCTTAAAGCTCAGAGGCCTCGTGGCTTTTCATGAAGTGTTAAATGGGCGCTTTTGGTTCAGGGGCCACCAGCTTGGCGCTAGACATCTGAAAACTCATTGATTTTCATGCATTTGCTTTTCATACTACACTTAAAGGAGATCAGATGCATATGGATGCTGTATCTCCACATACGTGCATTTACCCAAAAAGGCAGGTACATCTGCCATTAACATTCACTAGCGACACTATCGCTCATGGTTTTCACGGTTCAGGTACCTATACCTGGGGCACATAAAAAGACATTGTGTATAGATGAGAAAAGTGAAACAACTTCGCAATTGTTTATGCTAATCGAGCAGCAGTGCAGAAGATCGAAAGGATGGGATAATCCTTTAGTTTGGCTTAGAGAACCACAGTTGTGTGATTTTAGCAACAGATTCACCTTTTAAACTCCATCCTTTTGAGTCGCTATTTTAAAACACAATTCACACCTGCTAAGCTGGGTGGTGGAAAGATGTAACTTGGAGTCCCGGCCCCAGTTCCGTGACCTTGGGCAATTCCGTCCATTTGTTCTCTCCCTTTCGGTAAAAATGATCAGTGCCTCCCATGTGCCAGATGCTGTGGACAGTATTGTGGAAGTGTCCCCCACCCCCAAGACCTGAAGGGATTGGACCAAAGGACGTCCAAGGCCCTGAATGCCTGCATAATAATCTGTTTGGAGAAGACTGGGATGAAAAAATTCATCTTGAGTTCAGTCAGCTAAGCTGTGGGTCAACTTGGTTCCACCTGACAATGATAAGATCTCTTCTAGGATGCTTACATTTACAGATATCCCTTTGAAAGTAGCACAGAATTTGCCTTCACTCCTCTTAGGTTTGGTCGAGGTGATCTGTCCAATCATAGGGATGGTCTTGTCTTGACTGAAGGGACCATTATTGCCGCTGATATTCCTGCGGCGCGGAGGATCCTCTGGCAGTGGGGAGAGTGGCGGGGGAAACAGCTTTTCTTCTTTTCTTCTGTTTGCTCTCCTGGATGAATTATTTCTGTGTAAACAAAAGGCATAGGGTGTCAGAAGATTCTGTCTCTCTTTAATCTGATCTTTCTCATGATGCTGATACTTTCAGCTAAAGTAATATGTTGGCTGATGGCCCTTTACTTGTGGTGAAGGGTATACATAAAAACGCATAGAGACATAGATATCTATAGAGAGGGAGCCCTCCCTATAGACTGAGTTATAGATAAATGCAACCATATGTATCTAAGAATAAACACGGGTCTTTGAAACAGAACTCCATGATAAATGGAAATGTCTAACGGAGTGTTGCCCCAGTGTGATATTTGTAACCTTTTAAGATTACTGTTAAGTAGATTTTTATGGAAAATCCAATGCAGACTTTAATCCTGTCTTTTTTTAGGCTGGTTCCTACTTATTCTGCCCTGCGACTTAACTGCATAGTCACACAGCAAACAGTACGATAAACAATTAGTGGAAGGATACTTTCCTAAGAAATACTATGCTTATACATTACACAGAAATAAATAATGCACTAAAAAATACTTTTGGGTTGCATTGCAACTTGTATGCTCCAACTGTTCTGCCCAGGGCATGATGAGCCCCTGACCTTAAGCTGCTATACTGAGGCACTGATGTACTCCGGTTTACAAAAGTCCATTTGAAAAATATTTTGTCATCTTTCTATAAGACACCTGCAGTCCTAGAAGTGCTCCTGTGCTTTCAAACTGATTTATCTGCCCGTTAAGTGGGCATCATCAAATAGACTGAGACTTCAAGTAAAACAGAACAACTAAAACCTTATGCTAGCTGCTTAACATGGTAATTGGGCCATGGATTTTTATTTTAGTTACTGTCTTAGACTGATCAATGAAGATTACTTGAACTTTAATCTTTTCTTAGACAACTAATATTGTACTGTGCAGCCATTTACTTTTCATGATGATTGACTACAATTTTCAACAGCAAATTAAGTCAACAAGAATTTATGTTTTCCTCTCGGTCAATTTCAGTCAGTGTCTAGAAATATAGATTTACAATATCTCAAAGCAACAAATCAAAGATGAACAAGCACTCAAGTGGTTTCATTTCCTGAAATGGTAGCAGTCAATGCAGTCCCGTCGTTCCACTTCTGCCGCCCAGATTTGCCATTTGTAACAATATTTGCCATCTTCTGTTTCATAAATGCGGCCCTATGTCAATTTTTGTCAGGCAGCCGGATTTTCAGAAAATTCACGGTTTCTGCCATTACCTTAATGGATTTAAATTAATTACAGGGGCTTCCCTGGTGGTGCAGAGGTTGAGAATCTGCCTGCTAATGCAGGGGACACGGGTCCGAGCCCTGGTCTGGGAGGATCCCACGTGCCGCGGAGCAACTGGGCCCGTGGGCCACAGCTACTGAGCCTGCGCGTCTGGAGCCTGCGCTCCGCAACGAGAGAGGCCGCGACAGTGAGAGGCCTGCGTACTGCGATGAAGAGCGGCCCCCGCTCGCCGCAACTAGAGAAAGCCCTCGCGCAGAAACGAAGACCCAACACAGCCAAAAATAAATAAATAAATTAATTTTTAGAAAAGACAAAAGAAAAATAATTAATTACAAAATATCTGCCAATGGATTTTTAAAGTTGCTTGGGCATGAAGAATCATTTTAAGATAGTGGTGATGCCTGATGAAAATAATGATGAAAACATGGATTAGGATGCACGTCCACGAGCAGGCTCCACCAACATCAGCCCACGCTGAGTATTATCATTACGGAGGAATCGGACTTTGGGGAATTTACACAGAAAGGAGTCAAGCATTGCTGTGGCATCCACGGGAGTGACTGGGTTCCTTACCTATGACCGCTCCTGCACTACCTGAGCTGCCGGGGAAGAGGGTGGGCTGCAAGGGGAACGGCTGTTCCCTAGAGGCAGTGCATTTGCCATTGGCAACTATCGTTGTGCTAGGCCTCCCCATCTGCCATTGTACACGGTATATCGTTCCCAGTACAGTACATTCAGTGCAATGGGCACAGTCATCTGGCCCCCTTTCCGTCCGTATGATAGCGACCTGGAACCATGTGGCCTTTAACGACTTCCTGGGTGAAGACGCCCAGGGAGCATTTTCTAGAGACCACTCTGTCACCATTTTAGCTTCTTACTATAAGGGCACCGCTTGTATAGGCTCTGGCTTCCGCATAGGAGGACAGCAAGCAGGAGAGTCCCCCATTTAATGCCTCAGAGGCCCTTCTGATGGTTCAAGCTCCAGAGAAGGGGCAAGGAACTCATCAGGGCCCTTCTGGTGGACGATGGGAAACTCCAGCTGTCATCGTCTGGTGTGGCATCCTTTGCTAGGTTTAGAATACTCATTGAGAAACGTGGATGTTGTCTTATAGAAATTTCCAAGGATTTAGTCTGAAGGGTCAACAAGGCACAAAGGAGCAGACGAAGCTGGAGGAGATGGCCTCCCCGAGGCGGCCTCCGGGCGGTCTGTCCTGCTTCCTTCTCCCTCAACCCCCGAGATGTTCCCGCAGACACGGATTTGTGGACAAGTGTTAAGAACCCGATCCAGGCCCTTCCTGAATGACAAATGCTACTAGGCGAACACTGCTCTCCGAACTACTACAAAAGCAGAAAGATGGTAAAAGGACCATGAGGTAAAACACCGTTTTATGAGAACGAATTCGAATTATTAGACATTGATTTAACATTTGATCATCTCTCTTCCACGAAATGGGGACCAGTGACAGATCACTGGATCACTGAAGGAGGCTCGCAATGGGGACTGATGGTGTGGCAATGCCCCACAGTTCCCTGGCTCTTCCTTGTGCCCTCAGGTGGCCCGGCCCGAATAGACTGAATCTGGGAACTGGGGCAGTACCGCCACTACAGGGACACCACTTTAGCCCTTCCTCCTTGGAAAGTAGGAGGGCCCTGGAATGACAGTGTTTGACCACTGGGAAAGAAGTCTGTTTCCCCACATTCCTGGCCCACCCTGGGGTAAAAAGGGCTGGCTTGCTCCACTGGAAGAGTTACTAATTCTGAGAACTCCAAGTATGTGAAGGGATATTTCCGATCAAATTATGCCAGGGAACACAGATGCCTGTCACAGAGAGCTTCGGGTGCACAGGGAGACGGGCAGCCTAGGGCCAAATCTCCTTATTATACTGAGCGGATCTAGCGGTCATTGGTCTTTTCCTACCTTTCATCTCTAAACAACAAGGATCCAAACAAATGTAAGCTGATCACTTATTTCCGACATCTTATCTGTGGCAGATTGATGCCCTCTCACTGATGTTAAACAGTAATCTGTGAAATCAACTGTGAGCAGCAGTTATGGCCATATTGCCTCCCTGCTCTGGGCTGCTAATAGGCTCCAAAACTGGTCTTTGATGGGAGTAATCTCGAATTTTGAATGAATTTATGGCAATAATTATCCAGACGGAACGGTTCCAGTAGCCGACACGATGGTTGGGGAAATGATATGTATAAGACAGAAGGACGCCATCACAACGTTTGGTAGGGAAGGCTGGGGTCGTGTGAGTGAGGATGGTACAAGGAGGCCTCCTGCCTGACTCTGGCACCTTCTGCAAAGAGGGAGATGGAAGAAGACGTGCCAGCCGATCGGCATTAACGCGTCCGTCCCTAGCTGGCTCTTCCCAGCACAGAACTGCCTGGGGCTGGGGGGCACTCCCAGACAGCTCGTCCCTCTGGCCTCCCCTTGGCCTCTGAGGAGTTCAGCATGGAGCTGCTAGCCCTTAGGCTTCAAATTAGCTTTGAGAAATGGCACCAAAGAGGAAGAGGCTGCTGAGTCATCCTGTTGAGGCCAAGGGGTTGCTTTCCAGGGAAATCTTTTTTATTTATCACCATCAGAACTGGAAGTTGCCCAGAAGGAGGTGATCTGGCTCAAGGGATAGGTGTCTCTTGATGCTGCCCCCTTTAAATTCATTTACTTCCTCTTACCCTTCACTCAGTGCTGAAAGTTCACTTTCGCCGATTTTTGGTCAGCAATCTGAGTTGGAATAAAGAAATGTTGCTAAAAAGCTCAAGGAGTCACCCCAAACCTGGCGGCCTGAGCGCCACCCTTTATCCCACCCTTGTTAGACCGGTGGTCAGAGACTGCTGTCAGGACAGGACTGAGAGACTCCTGTTTCTTACCTAACGTTCCTCTGGGACAGGACCCCCTGCCCCCGGCCAAGGGTTCGTTTGGGATTTCTTAAGAGTCTGAGCAAAAGCAAAGTATCATACGGCCCAGGGCAAACTCACTCTTTAGTGCTGGGAGGTTTCTGGGGGGGAGCTGGTGAGATGCAAGGTGGTAGCAGGCAGATGGTGGCCGCCTCCTCCAGGCATTGCTTCTTCTCAGGGATTTTCTCCGCAACTTCTGTTGGCTTTAACAGGAAGAAAAAACACGCAGAGTTTGAAATCCATGGCACGTGCAGACATTTAAAAACAACGAGCAAGGGAGACAGCTGGCTTCTACTTTAAGTCCTAGATAAGGTAGGGGAGTTAAAAGTGCACCTTTGATCGGACAGAAAAGCGATCAGTCTTGCCTCGCCTACTCCAACCAAGAAGCTGGCATCTGAGAGGGTGAAGCTGTGATGTGAGCCTCTGATCGGGTGGCACGGGGATATCGTACCAAAAGTGACGAGAATCTATAGTTTTCAGACACTTCTTCCAGCAACAACGCCTCCACAGATGAGTAGTTTAGAAACTAACACTGCAATTCTAACACGGCATAAATCCTGTCCGAGCACCCTGGGGGTTTAGGGTAACATACAAAGGTCACTTCTACAACCAAAAATATGCAAGGAAGTTAACCAGATGCAAGGCACACCTCTGGACCTTCAGGTACTGGTTCTGAAGGTCCACTTTTACTGCTTGTTGTACTGCCGTCATCACTAAGAGCAGGGAAACAGTCCCTTGCCCTATCAGACTTTTTGGTCCTCCTCTTTGGACCAGACTTCGGTCCCTATTTTGGAATACTCTCATTGAACAAGTTGGTGCACAGCTCAGAGATAAAACCGTCTGTGAATCTCTAAAGCTGAATGATGACTTAAACCACCCTTACAGGATTCCGCATGGCAGCCATTCAAAATAATGTTACTCAAAGATCACCATGAGATGATGTTACACTAAAAGACTACTGTGAGATCCAGAGATGCAACACAACGAACTGACTGGACACAAACTCACTTCCCCAGATGTACGTGAAATGCAAGAGGCCATGCTGGGTTTCACCTTATGATTATATCTGTAGCCCTGGAATCCAACCCTAATGTCTCGCAGGTGAGGTTTTTACGAGTCAAGCCGACCACACAGGTCAGGGGGCCAAGCAGGCTGGACAGAGCGTGTGTCTAGTAGGAGCCAGGATAATCAACATATAACTGGGTTGCAGGGATCCTGATGTTTGGATGGAGAAATTAACAAGGCCTAGAGGATGCATGTTGACCTTAGGAATCCTTGGTGCCCTGCTGCTGCTGGTGCGGTGGGGGGGCGGGGGGGGACTACGGAATAATGACCCATGAATCTGGCTGCTTGGGGAAGGAGCCTCTTCATATATTCTTCATTGCTACACATCACGTGCCATACTGGATGCTCTTGGCATTGGTTGGCAAACCTTGATTATCCCTAACACTTCCTCCCTGGTCATGTCAAATACTGCCTTTCCCACGGAAAGCATCATTGCCTCCCCCAAAGACTGCAATGCACTGTCACCAGCCTGCTGGAAAAGGAGACTCAAGACCAAAGTAGCTCCCAGACAGCCGCGGCTCCCGATCACGTGGCAGAGGCCACACCTGACGGCTTACCTTGTGCTTACGCTTGCCCCTGGGGGCAGCTTTATCCACAGCAGCCGCGGCAGCTGCCTGCCGTCTGGGCTTTGAGGCTGTCTCCTTGTGGTCTGGCTTGGCTGGCGCCGCCTGCAGTGAGTTGTGGCCAGGCACTCGAGACAGTAGGTCGAGGTCAATCTTCACCCAGAGATTTTTCAGATTCTCGTGATCTCGGAGAGGAGACAGAAGCTCGGTTTGCATGACAGGGATGGGTGAAAAAGTAGGCTCCTCACTGGAGATGGGCGGGTTGCTGCTGCTGAAGGTGCTGAGGGTCAGGCTGGCCCCGCAGGTGTCCTTGGACTTGGCAGTGTTGCCCCCAGGAGCCATGCAAGGAGGCAGGACTTTGATCTGCAGGGTCTCTTCCTGATCTGTGCTGGAATCAGACGTAGACGAGTCGGTTTCAATGAATTCCCGGGACTTCGGCACCATCTTGCCAGGCCCTCGGTACCTCTTCTTCTCGGCAGCCAAGGGGATGCTGGGCCTCGGTTCTTTCCTAGGGACCGGCTTGTGGGCGGTGGCTTTGTTGCGGCCCCTCGGGGGCTCAGGAAGCTCCATGCTTTCCTTTTCTTTGGGAGTGCTGCTGGAGATATTTGGTTTGGGCCAGGTAAATTCCTCAATGCTGGGGTTCTTCTCGACCCTCTTGGGCTGTTTTTTCCCAATTGTCCTTTGAGATGCTGTCTCGAGAGTTGTCGACAATTTATGCTTCAGAGCCTTTGTTTCTGGAATTTTGGGGGTGGGCCGTGGACGGGCTTTCTCCCTGATGAGACTGAGGAGAGGCCTCTCTTTGGGTTCAGCCAGGACCTGGCTGGGGTTTGCCTTCACCTTGACCTGGACTTCCATTGGCTGTATGATTGGAGGAGGTACAGAGATCGTCTCCATGGGTGTTTCATTTTGGCCGCAAATAAACGACTTGTTCTGAGATGTCACTTTGTTAAGCCATTTGTCCAGCTGCCACTTGTTGGTGGAGGGCGGCTCAGGCTGCAGATTGAGACACAGTGGCAAGAATGAATTTCACCTTTGGAAAGAAGTCAGGAGGACCCTCAGTGCACTGACTGTTGGGTGATAAAAGCTTGGGCTGTTAAGTGACCATTCACACATTTAGAAACATACATGGACTTCACATTCATCACGCTCCCTAGATGTGGCCAAATACTCCACAGACCGGCTCCAATCAACTTTTTCTACTAAAGTTCCACTGCTCTTCTGAAACTATCCCCTACTTTGGCCAGCAAGGAAGGAATCATTCACAGAGAGTTTTTCCAGAGAGTGGGCAGGGAGGCCTGGGAGGGAATCTGGTTCCCAAAGTCCTTTGGTGGGGCTCATTACTCAACCTCTTACCAGGAGGCCGAGGTAGTGATCTCTGGTCCTGAAAAGAAATGTAAGCGTGCCTCAAGTGTAATTCAAAAGGAAAGGCTTTCTCTCTGCCAAACTGCCAGGGCCTCCTATACGATGCTGCAATTCACTGCAAAAAGAAGAGGCCTTCTGTATTTTCACTGAAGGATGAAAAAGATTTGACTTCCAAAAAACCACTGCACTTTCCTCGGTGTATGGGCAATAACCAATTTACGGGGACACGCGTGCAGACATTAGCGTCCGCCGTTAAGCCACGGAAGTGATGCGTACAATTCGGGTGCTTGATTCCCAAGTCTAAATTCTGCCTGTTGAACTAAAAGAGCCATCATTTTTATTAGAGCTCCTCTTTTTTGAAAGGCATCAGCTGAGGCTTATGGCGCCAGCCAACAGAGGGTAACAGAATTCAAAAGACTCTGAGTAGCCATGATTCCAACCCGCACAGAGCAACGGCAGGTAAGTGTCAAGGCAATCGGTGCAGCTGCTACTGTCGGCAGCAGAGCGCGAGGTTGAGGGCCCCAGCTCTGGTAGCACACAGAACCTGGTTTCAGTCCTGCCCGTGAGATCTTGGGAAAGTTCTTTCTTACCCTCTTAGAACCTTATTCTCTCATCTGTAAAATGGGATAATAATAGCAAGGACCCCATAGAGCTGTTATGAGGATGAAAGGAGAAAATCCAAGTCACGAGCTTCTCACGGTGCCCGGCGTGTCATCTACATTCAAGAAGTGTGAGCTATTATGATTAGCGGTAACGTTACTATGGCATCTTCTCCTGTTATTCTTTTCTGATTATTGACAAACAAGCGTGTCCAGAGCCATGGAGGGATCTGCTTGCTGTACGAGGTGCAGGCTCAGGGGAACTGAGAGGCTGGCACTCAGAGAGGATGAGAGGGGAAGGACAGGGTTTTTAACTCCAAATTATAACTCTGGTATTTTGTGGGGCTGTGTGAAATGTTTTCATGAATTACCATCAAGTACACTTGAAGAATATTAATTGAAATTAAAAAGGAAATACCTGTGACCTTTCAACCATCACGCTTCTTGGGTCTTACTTGCCGAGGGACTTTCACCACTTCAACCTAGAGGAAGGGGTGGTGTCCCCAGAGCCAGAAGTGGGTCTGGACTGGCTTTGCTGATTCTCTGGAAAGTGAAGTTGTCAGCCCAGTGATTACTAGTCCAGTGTAATAGTAATGGGGAGGCTCAAGGCTCAGAGGAGCTGAGTGAGTCACACAGAGAATCAGTCCCACGGCAAAGAAATGTCCGTTAGAGACCACGCGAGTACATGTGTTAGAAGAAAAAAAATGCTATCAAACACCTGAGTACTTTTCTGACGTGTATACTGTGCTGAAGCCCTCATCGCGCTGGAATACTGTGATTGTTGTATTGTTGTGTGTGTGCAGGTCGGAGGTGCTGCCTCGGGGCAGGTAAGCTGTGGCTGGGGCCCCGGCCCGTCACCCACCTCTGGCGTGGCCACGCGCGGCGCCTCGTTGGCTTCACTGTCAGTGGTGCTGCTTTCAGTGTCTGAGTCTGACTCTGAGCTGCTCTCAGAGTCACTGGAGCTGCCGGATCCCCCGCTGGCTGGCGCTGCAGGTGTGGGCTGAGGCGTGGCCAAAAGCGGGCTGAAAGGAAAACGACACCACTGGGTCTCAGACCAGCTGGAAAAGAGCCCAGGTCAGCATAAAGGCTGATGATTTGTGAGGGGCAGGTGAGTGGAGCTTGCCATCCCATTTCACAGGAGGCCCCGTGAGTGACCCACAGGTCTGTCAAGGGGCTCTGATCTTAGCTATATGCACAGTACTGTCCTCTCGGCAAGAAGGGGCGAGTTGAATCCTCGCTTTCATCATGGGAGACTGAGGTTCAGAGAAGTGGGAGGGCTTGCCTCAGCCACAGAGCTATCGGTAGATACAGAAGTGAGACTGGGACCGTGGCCTCTCAGGTCCCTCAGAGGGCAGGGCTGTGTAAAGATATTCGCGGCCAGGTGTCCAGCGCCCGGCCCCAAGGTGAGCAGAGCTGACCATGTGAATTAGGGGATGATAGGATGCACTTCTCGGCCTCCTCCAGCAGAATTTCTGTAAACCCTTCTTAAAACTCTTACCAGGAGGTATGATCATAAAGGACCAATCATCTCTAACGACTGATTTTAAATCTGTAAAGCTGACCAAGCAAAGAAAGCACTGGGAAATGGACACCACTTGCCACTGTCTTTATTGATAATCCATACTCTTCCTTACTAATCGTTTGCCCTCTGTGCCCCGTAACAAATCAACCTCAGCTGCCTCTCGGCACGCTGGGGTATGTCACAGCCTTTCTGTCCTTTTGCTCATCGTCTCTTTGGACTAGTTTTGTTCTGCTTCCACTCAAAAGCGGGGCTCTAAATTGGAGGGGGGCGGGGAGGGGTCTTGTCCGTCTCTGTCTCATCAGCCCAGGCCCCTCTTTGGAGAGAAGTTTAATCACGGACAGGGATGGGCTGGGGGCCCGAGCATATTCGCTGCTGTGCTGGGCTGGTCCTCCTATCCGCCTGGCTGGCCGTCCAAACCTCACTGCCTCTCAGACTCCCAGCTCCTTGCCCAGCCCTCCCTGGAAAACCCAGTCCTGGCCCTGGAGGGCACCTGGTCCTGTGGCCCCACCTTCAAACTGGATAGAGAGGGACTCTAAGGCCCCCCTCTGCCTGAGACCATTATTCCTCGCCTGCCCCAACCCCGCACCCTCACTGGAGCCTAGTTTTCAACATTACAGCTCTTGCCCGCTGAGCTGGAGCCATGCTCAGCTGCCTCCTGGAAAGGCATAGGATCCCTTTCAAACCAGCATGGGTGTCTCATCCGTCACCATCCAATGCGTAGAGCCTTTGCATTACGTGTGCCTCGCGTCCCTGAAGACGGCCCCTTTAATCTCCCAGGTAGCTCTTTGCTTTCATATAGCCGAAGCTCATTTTAAAATGCTATCTGCTAAGTAAATGCTATCTGCAAGTACATTCGTCTGCCAAATACACCAAGAGATTAGGGGAAGCAGAAGAAATAGGGGACTCTATCCCCTGGGAAAGTGTGTGTGTGTGTGTGTGTGTGTGTGTGTGTGTGTGTGTGGGAGAGAGAGAGAGAGAGAGAGAGAGAGAGAGAGAGAGAGAGAGA